TGCGCAGCGGCGCCGCACCTTGGCGGCTGCCAGTGCAATCCCAGGGGTCGCGCGCCGTGGCGCGCGATTGGTTTGACCAGCGTCCCTCATCAGGCGCGCGCAGTTAGTACAAACCTTCGGTGCCCTTAGGAGCCATCGGTTTCGCGCGCTTGCTGCCGCCCATGATGCGCGGCTGAGATGAATAGGGCGGCGCCGATCGCAACGCGATTGGCAGTGCCATGTAAGTATGTAAGTCCACGCGCGGCTTCCGTGCTCCGCGGTCGCGGGCGGGGAATGGTGGTGGTCGTGGTGGCGGGGTGGGGGGGGGTAGGTGCGCCTGACACTTAAGGCGCGAGGCGCGTGCTGGTTGCATGGCAAGCGGCCACGTAGATTGCGTTGTCTGCCGCCCCGTCATCAGGACCCCATGCCAGTCCACGGGATGGCCCCACAGCTGCCGTTTGGGGGATGTCCTCAGCGCGTCCAACCACGTGGCGGCCATGCATCCATTGGTCGCGCTTGCGTCCACAAGCCGTCTGCGTGCCATTCCAGGCTTACTTCCTCGACTCGACGCGCGTTTGCGTAGGAAGGGTCTCACGCGCCGCGTGCCCTTCATGGGTTGCGGAGATTGGTTGGATAGGCAATCTGCCAGTGTTGGACACTGTCGTTGTGCCATTTCAGTTTCTGGCCGTTTCTGGACACCCCCAACCCGTTGCATCCTTGCTGTTCTTCATTCAATGTTTGGCGCCCATTTGCATCCACGCCGCGTCGGAAAGGCCACGGCATGCACCGTGTTTGGTAAACGCATTTGAATAGATTCGCGCGCGCGCATGCACGCGCAACGATGATTGCTCACGGTTGGCACGTTTCGGAGTCATTTGTGAAGCGTCGCCCCGCATTGCCATGTATATATTCCAGAGGCGCGGTGGTGACCGATGCGCGTTGCCTTGGCAGTGGTCGTTTGAAATATCAGAGGTTGTTGTCGCACTCGGGTGCTCAAGTGTTTCTTGCTTCGTGATTGCGGTGCGTGTCTGTCGTCTTGAAATTTAAGACCACCTGAATGGTGGGCACTTGTCTTTGGAGCCACGCCCGCACATGTGTTGAATGACCCGCGCGTGTCTACGCGCAGCAAACGATCGCAGTGTGACACTTGGCGGCTTGGACCGCGATGGAGGGCGCATATTATTTTCATAATGGTTTGGCTCTCGAGCGTCGTGTAGTGTACACTCGCCCTTTGCATGGTAGAAATTGCTACCGAGGGTGTTCTTTTCAGTGCGTGCAGGTTCCGATTGAACGCAGACGTCACTTGGCCAATATTCTTGTAACGTTGTCGGCATTTATCCGTTGATGACAGCTTCGGCGTGCGATCTTGTTTTGTTGCATCCAATTGCAGTGCTCAGTTTTCTGAATCAGCGTCTCTGCCCACTGGAGCAGGAGAAGGACCAGGAGGAATAGGGCCGCGGAGTGCGAGGAGGATGAGGGGGGGGGGGGGGGGGGGGGGGCAGGAGTGGGGGAGGAGGAGTAGGAGGTGTAGGAGGGGCAGGTGTAGGAGGAGCAGGGATACCCAGGGCGATCGCATGGCCTCAAGAGCGGACGACGACTGCAACACGTAGAACAAGCAACGGCAACGATTTCGCTTATGCGAACGGCAACCAACGTTGTCTGCAAAGCTACGTAGGCTGGGCGTGTGCACGTGAGCAGCCAGCAGCGCATTGCATGGCATCGCATAACATAGCATCGCACTCAACTGTGGCCTGCTCGCGTAAAGCGCACGTAGGTAGCACTATGGCGGGCGGCCAGGGGAGGCGGCGGAGCCGCCGTCGTTTTATAGAAGGCCAATGTTGTGTCGCTCCTGCTCCTCATCCTGCTCCTCCTCATCTTCCTCCGCCCTTCCGCCATCCTTCCCCGGCCCCTCCTAGCGATGACCCCCGCATCCTCCTCTACTTACTCTCATTGCCTCCAGTGTTCCTCCTCTTCTCACTCCTGCCCCTCCGTCCCTCGACGGTGTGCCCCCCCGACTCATAGTCCATTCCTACCCCGACTCCTCTCTGCTACTCCTACTCCTCCTTCCTCCTCTCCTCCTCCTCCTCCTCCTCCTCCTCCTCCTCCTCCTCCTCCTCCTCCTCCCCCCCCCCCCCTACTCCTGCCCCTGTGCCCCCCGCGCCTCCTACTTCTCGCCCTGCTCCTCGTGCTCCCCCTGCGCCCGAGCCCCTGGGGGTTGAGTGGCGTGAGTAGGCCGGCGGGTTGAGTAGGTGGGCAGGTGCGTTCGGGGCGTCTTGGCGCGCCCTCCTTGGACCTCACTTTGGGCCCCCTTCCTTTGGCCCCTCGGACCTCTCATGCATTGGGCTCTGCCCATCATGGCGCCCCCCCCCCCCCCCCTCGAGCTCATTGAGGCTGCCTCTTAGGGCTTCACCCTTGGAGCCCAACAAGTAAGTAGGATATCGCGCTAATACGTGGACGTGCCTGGGTTGCAGGGTCTCAGCTCAGGTGGGGCAGGCTCAGGTCGGGGCAGCCGATGCCGTCGTGGCTCAGGTAGGGCACGCCAGGCAAGGGTAGGACAGGCCAAGTAACATAAGCCAGTCATGCCGCAGGACGCGGTTCATAACTGAGGGCACTGTAGGTTACAGGTTTCACAACATACAACGCGATAGGGTAGCAAAGCAGTAGGAGGGCAGGAGTAGGCGTGGCGATGAGACCCTCCTTCTGGACCCACTTTGGGACCTCATCGTGGCGCCCTGGGCTCTCACCGGGACCCCTGCCCCTCAATGCGGCCTCCCTTGGGCCCCCCCTTGCGACCTTTCCCTTGGGGTTCCAGCTTGGAGCCTGCGACTGAGTTAGGACATCCACCCTCCGCCCTCCACCCTGGTAAAGTCATCCAACCTCCACCCTGGCAATGTCCACCGCCAGTCAGGATCCTCCGTGGCAGGGCCCCTCCAACCTCCACCCTCCTCCGTCTTGGAGCCGTTTTGGCGCGGTGTTTGCGGCGGCGCGACGGCGTCGTCGCCCTTCTTTGGCCCGCGAGGGCCCGAACGAGTGCCAGGCTAGAGTCGGAGTCGGGGGCTCCGAGGTTGCCCGCCATGGCTAACAAGAAGCGCCTGGCGGCAGCGGACGGCGAGGGCGCTCCAGCAAGCAAGGTTGGGCCCCCATCGCCGCGGCAAGGCTTCGGGCAGCGGCGCCGATCCCGCGGCCTGCGCCCGCTGCGACGAGCCCGTGGATCGGCAGTCGGGCTTTCGAGGGAAGGCCAGCGGACGCGGCAGTCTACCGATGTGCGGCTGCGACCAGTGCTACACGGGGTTCGCTCGCCATTTCCAGCAGGACATGGCCTGGCAAGACTACGTCGAGAGGTGTCGTGAGGACGAGGACTTCAACAAGGACTGCGAGATGAAGATGCAGGCCGACGTCGAGCGTGCCGCCAGTAGCGGCCACGGCACCGCCGAGGTAGATGTGACATGCGGCCAGGAGATCAGCAAGACGTCGATACAGTTATACAAGTACCAGTGGACTGAGAAGGTCTGCCCGAATGGGGGTGGCTGGCATGTCGCCTGAGATGTGCAAGGTGGAGGAGACTCGCGTTGGCTCCGCTACTCACCCAGGTGCGAGCTCGACTGGCGTCGTCTGTCAGCACCCGACGAAGCCAGCACGGATATCAAGAATTACACCAGGGCGGAAGTACGCATGAGCACGGTCAAGATCACGGCCGCGAAAGCGGCAGCCCCAGGAGGAAAGCAACATACATTCAAGCAGGAGATCACGAATATCAGGCAGAAGCAGGCGACGATACTCAGAGGGAATGCCAAAGTGCCGGCGCTCGCCCAGTTGCAGGACATTTTAGCCTCGGAGGCTGCCATTCGTGGGCTCTCGGCGCCGCCAAAGGCCCCCGGTGCAAGGCGCGTTGCTTCGGATCTTCTGGCCATCTAGGGCGGGGGCGCCGACGCGCTGGAGGGCGGCGCAGGCGATGGCGACGGCGATTCGCAGGGCGCGGTCTCGCTGAGCCCCGCTGGCCCCAATGCCACGGCGGCGCTTGCGACCGCGAGGGGCTCCACCGCTCGCCGAGCTACGGGCGCGAGCTCTGCGACGCAGGGCAAGTCTCCCACTCCTGCGCCGTCGCGGATCGGGAGGCTTTCGTCGGGTGCCTTGGCTGCCTTGGTTTCGCCAGCAGGCGCATCGGAATCACCTGCTCCAGTTCGCGACCGCTCGAGGTCGCCAGCGCCGAGCCACGTGGCGCATCTGAGCTCTGGGCGCAAGGTTGTTCCGATGGCGGCGCAGGGCGCCTTGGCTAACGACGGGGCGCGGTGTGGGCAGCTGAAGCAGGGCGTCGTAATCTCTCACATCCTCGACGGCACGCCGAAGGGCGATCGCGCGTGCTCCTTGAAGAGGTTCAAGCCTCAGTCGCCCAGCATCGCAATCATGGCTGAGACATTGTACAAGAAGGCTGAGACGGCGACGCTGCTAGCGAACAGCCTGGACGACATGAGTTGGGATCAGCTCTGTGCGCACCTCAAGGTTCTTTCAAACGAGGAGGTCCAAAGCGCCTACAGCTTCTCACAGGACCTGCTCAGGAAGTACTTGCAGCTGGCCGAGCCCTCGATCGATCAGATCACGGATGCGATCTTGCCTGTCGCAGCTTGCTCCGACGCCTTCAACGCGCGCGAGCCCAAGCTCTCCAGCACGGCGGGGGACATTGACTCGATGGTGGCGGTGTCTCGGGAGATCCTCATGGACATCGCGGTGCTTCCTGGCTTGGCGTGGCCCGCCTTGGTCGAGCGCATGCAGGCGCTTGGGGTCAGCTTGACCGACCAGTTCAGTGCTACCATGCCAGAGTGGAGCGCCAGCGTCAAGGACTAGTTCGAGAAGGTTAGGGGCGTGGGTCTCCTGCAGACCCACTTGGGCAACGACGACCCTGAGACGTTTTCGGACGGCGCTCCGCATCTGGCATTGCTGGTGGATTTGCTGACAGGGGGGTTATCGGGTCCAGAGTGGCAGCCTTTCTCGGAGGCCTTCGGGAAGCACGAACCATGGGCCGAATGGAAGTCTTCGTTTCGGCGGGCTGCGTCGACGGACCTCCAAGCTGCCCCGAAGATGAAGAGGGCTTGGATGCTCTTGAGTCTGCGATCTCGTCCATCGGCCATTGGAGGAAGACGTGCCGTGGCAAGGCGTCGTCGACACTGAAAGCGGAGCAGGCGGTCCAGGACACCATCAAGAGGCTGGCAACTGCGATCGTCGACAGTTCCGAGGCCCTCGTCAACTTGGACTTCCTGGTCAAGCTCGAGGTGATCATGCACCACTTCTCTGTGGCTGCGGACTTCGCGCTGACTGGGGATGGTTGTAGATTGGAGGGTACGTGCGCTCCCTTGCTGGGCAAACGTAACGCTGCCGAGATCTGCAGGAGCGAGGTTGAGATCCTGGCGGCGGCCCGCAAGTACCTTGGCGACCCCACCGAGGCGAACGCAGACGCGCTGCACGGCACCCTCCAGAACAACACGAAAGTTGCCATCAGCGGGGGGACTGAGATGGCCGTCATCGCCAGGACTGCAGCCCTGCTCCACCAGAAGATCGAGTTGCTGAGGTCGATCGACGTCGATGGGCCGGTGCAGCGACTTGAGTTCAGCACGTTGGTCCGCGGGGGCTTGCTGCTGGAGAGCATCGGAGACCTGCTGGTGCAGACGATCACGCACGACGGCGACGGGAGCAACCTCAGGATGGCCATCAACATGAGGGGCTACGATGTGAGATCGAGCCTGCTGGCGGCACAGCTGCTCGAGAGGTTCCAGTGTACGGCGGTGGGCCCGAATGCAGACTACGCGATGATCAAGGGCGCATTCGATGAGCTCGGATCGGTGATCAATGCACTTCCTGCGACGGCCTCCGACGACTTCGACGATGTGCTCACGATTTGCGACCTCGACGCCTTCAAGGCGTTCTCAGAGTTGGTGGCCCCTTGGAAGCCGTTTGCCGTTGCTGCTTTGAAGGCGCGCGCCGAGTCGCGCGTGGAGGACGCCGCCAAGGCGGCGGACGAGGTCAACGAGAAGCTTGCGGCCATCGCAGGCGGCATGGCGGACGGTGGCGACTAGCCCGACGGCTTCGATGGAGGCGGCTCCGGCTGGGCGGCGCTGCATGCGCACGCGCGGACCGCTGTGTTTCGCCAGACAGGCATCAGCAACAAGATCAAGTCTCTCGAGCGGGAACTTCGCGAGAAGCAGGCCGACCTCAACAGGGCCGCAAAGGTTTGCGACGTCGCGGAGGCCGGCCTCGAAAAGGCCCGCGATCGCTGGCAGCCGACCGTTGCGAAAGCGCACTTGACTGTGACAGTGGCGTCGCTGGCTCAGGCGGCGTCGGCAGAGGGGCCACGGTGCGCGGGCGGAATCCAGCGCGACCTCGACGCGACGCAGGCCAAGAGCGTGGCCGCGGAGAGCGCCCCGCCAGCGCTCTGGGCGGAGGTCCAGCGCAAGCTGGCGCAGTGATGGCGAGGGGCAGGCCGCCCCGCTGCCGCGCCCAGAGGGGGGGGGGAGGAGGGGGAGGAGGAGGATGAGGGGGGGGATGAGGAGGATGAAGAGGAGGGAGGGAGGGAGAGGAGGAGGAGGAGGGAGGAAGAGGGGGGAAGGATGGAGAGAGGGGGGGGGGGCCGCCCAGCAACGCGCGACGGAGACGAGGGGCGCCGCCGATGCTGCCGACAAAGTTTTTCCTCCTGAGCTGCCGCCCCCCTCCTCTCTCTTCCTTCTCTGCTCTTGATTCCTTCCCGCTGCCGCCTCCGCCCTCCCTCCGCCTCTTCCTCCCTCCTCTTCTTCCTCCTCCCTCTGCCTCCTCCTCCCTCCTCGTCCGTGTCTCCACCAACCCTCCCCCTCTCTCCGTGGCCTAGTTCTCTTGATTCTGATGTATATGTTATCCAGCGGTGCCAATGGGTTTGCCCGTCAAAGCGTAGTCTTGGAATCGGCCCTCTAGTGGACAACCCGCCCCTAATGTCACGGCTATGTTGTTAGCCCTTCGCCTGCCCAGGAAAGTGTTGATGACCTTTCTGGGGGCCCGCCGAGGGTGGCGATCGCCCAACTTTGGCGCCAGGGTGGGCGCCTTCAAACTCGATGGTCGTTTCGGGCCATCAAAACCCATCAGTTGTCATACATGCCGCCTAGACTGGCAAGATAAGTTTCAACGCAAGAGCGGATAACGGCAGCAGGAGACGGAAAGGAACGAAAACAAGAAAGTATACCGGAAACAAAGAGACGGAACGGAACGGATACAAGAAAGGAAAGAAGGAAACGGAGAGGAAACAAGGAAATTGAGAGGACAGAAGGAAACGGAGAGGCAATAAGGAAACGGAGAGGAAAGAAGGAAACGGAGAGGAAATAATGACACGGATAGGAAAGAAGGACACGGAATGGAAATAAGGAAACGGAGAGGAAATAATGATTATGACGGGAAATAATGAAACGGAGAGGAAAGAAGGAATAGGAAAGAAAAGGAAGAAGGAACGGAGGAGGAGGAGGAACTTCCCAATCAGAAGCACCGACATATCGATTTCGGTGTCTGAAACCGAAATCTGCATTTCGATGTTTTTTCCCAGCCATCCTGTGGTGTTGGGTCTTCGTTTTGAAGAGACGGTGGCCCGCGTCTCCTCCTCTCCTCCTCCGCCCCCTTCCCCTCCTATCATCCTCATCGTCATCATCATCATCACCATCATCGTCATCATCATCATTATCATCATCATTCCCAACCAACCTGTGTTGTTGGGTCCTCGTTTTGAAGAGACGGTGCCCCGCGTCTCCTCTCCTCTCCTCCTCCGCCTCCTCTCCCCTCCTATCCTCTCCTCCTCTCCTCTTCACCCACCCAGTACACCGTTTCGTGGCTCCATAGGGAGCTCCACCGAAGGCCCCAGTGGCTGCGCTCCCATGCGCCCACCGCACCCATTTCGGCACACCCCTCACACGCTTCGTGGCCCCATAGGGAGCTCCACCGAAGGCCCCAGTGGCTGCGCTCCCATGCGCCCACCGCACCCATTTCGGCACACCCCTCGCGCGTTTCGTGGCCCCATAGGGAGCTCCCGCACAGATTTCGGCACACCCCTCATACGTTTCGTGGCCCCATAGGGAGCTCCAGCGAAGGCCCCAGTGGCTGCGCTCCCATGCGCCCACCGCGCCCATTTTTGCATACCCCTCACACGTTTCGTGGCCCCATAGGGAGCTCCACCGAAGGCCCCAGTGGCTGCGCTCCCATGCGCCCACCGCACCCATTTCTGCACACCCCTCACACGTTTCGTGGCCCCATAGGGAGCTCCACCGAAGGCCCCAGTGGCTGCGCTCCCATGCGCCCACCGCACCCATTTCGGCACACCCAGCACACGTTTCGTGGTTTCATGGGGAGCTCCAGCGAAGGCCCTAGTGGCTGCGCCCCCATGCGCCCACCGCACCCATTTCGGCACACCCCTCACACGTTTCGTGGCCCCATAGGGAGCTCCAGCGAAGGCCCCAGTGGCTGCGCTCCCATGCGCCCGCCGCACCCATTTCTGCACACCCCTCACACGCTTCGTGGCCCCATAGGGAGCTCCAGCGAAGGCCCCAGTGGCTGCGCGCCCATGCGCCCGCCGCACCCATTTCGGCACACCCCTCACACGTTTCGTGGCCCCATAGGGATCTCCACCGAAGGCCCCAGTGGCTGCGCTCCCATGCGCCCACCGCACCCATTTCTGCACACCCCTCTCACGTTTCGTGGCCCCATAGGGAGCTCCAGCGAAGGCCCCAGTGGCTGCGCTCCCATGCGCCCACCGCACCCATTTCGGCACACCCATCACACGTTTCGTGGTCCCATGGGGGGCTCCAGCGAAGGCCCCAGTGGCTGCGCTCCCATGCGCCCGCCGCACCCATTTCGGCACACCCCTCACACGTTTCGTGGCCCCATACGGAGCTCCACCGAAGGCCCCAGTGGCTGCGCTCCCATGCGCCCACCGCACAGATTTCGGCACACCCCTCATACGGTTCGTGGCCCCATAGGGAGCGCCATCGAAGAAGATACTCACAATTGCGGCGCTCGCAATGCATCTGGTTGGGTCCTTCGCCAGGATATTTGATTGGGGTTTCGAAGAAATCTGAAATCTCGGTTTCGGTTTTCTTAAATATTGGTTTCGGTGTTTGCGATCTTGGAATCGAGCGCGGAGGCTCGGGGAGCCATGTGCTGGTCGATTGGGGCCAGAAGGGGGCTTCCGCTCGTCGCGCCTGCAGGTTTTGTCCGAAATTCGGTCATGATCTTAGCGGGGCTCTTATTGGGTGTTTCTGAGGTGCCCCTGGCCCAAGGTGCCCTTAGGCTGTTCGCTCCACTTTGGAGCCCCTGGGGCCCTGTGGGCCTCGTGATGGGGTGCTCTAAAGGCCGTGGGGGCCTTGGAAATCCTATGGGCTTCTTCGGCCAGGGGCACTTCTAGCAAGGCCCGATCTTATTCGAATCGGCGACGCGGCGCGATCTTCCGACCCTGTTTGCTCCAGTGCGAGTCGGCGTCGCCGGCGGCCGCTTTCATTGGCGGTCGCGTTAGCGGTCGGTGGTCGGTTTCGCTTTATTTCGGCTCCATTTCTGAAGTCGGTTCTTCTCGGCCTCCATTTCCTCGACGGTCCTCGTGGCTTCTCGGGGGCCTCGTGACTTTTCTGCGCAATCGGAGGCGCCCCCTTACCTCGTCAATGTTTCACTCCGACATGTGCCAGTCACTCCGAAGACGCGGACCTGGCGATCCTGTCAACGGTCTTCACGGATGGCCCAGGGCCCCCCTGGACAGCATGGATGCGCTTGCGCCTGCCACGCGCGCTTTTGTGCATCCGTCCAGCAGGAGGGTGAGACAGAGGAAGGATACGTGCAGGACATGTAGGAGGGGGGGGATGATAAGCCCGCGCCTGTAATCATGGGCGGCTGAGTTTGCCTTGGATTATTTCCTCTACCCCCGTGTTGCCCTATGTCGGCTAGGTTATGCACAGCAAGGTTATTGCGCAAACAGGTCGCACATCGCCTAAACGCACATGTTAACATTGAAGGCTTCATTGCTTGAGCGTTGCTTGAACATTGGTTTATGTGTTTTTTGTCAGCCATTTTTTCCGAAACAGTTTCGATGTGGTTGCGGATGAATATTAAGATGAGCGCGACTCTCGGCGACCTTGGTCCTTGACGTATGACCCCATTGACCTCGACATCGTTTTCCTGAGGCACCTAGTGACCTACCTCCTCCACTGCCCCCATCGTCTTGGGCTTCATTGTTTTCGCTCGGCGTCGGTTTCAGCCACGGGCCCCAGGAATCCAGGGGGGCGGGGGAGATCAAGACAATACCGAACATCGAGGCAAGGCCGAAACACAGAGTCCACAGGAAGAGCGCGAGATCAAGACAAGGCCGAAACCGACCTCGAACGAGGGGGCAATCTGCGACCCCCCCCCGATGGGTTTTCTTCCTCTGAGCAGAGGCGGAGCGGCCCCTCGCGCTCGCCTCGCGCTCGAGGCGGAGCGCGCACTCCCGTGCCCTTGCAGGCGCGAAAAAAACCACCCCCATGCAGGTGGGCGAAACGCGAGCTCCAGAGGCGTGAGCGAGATCCTCCCTCGTCTTCTTTCCTCTTCTCCCTCCTCTCTCCTCCGTCCCCCCTCCCCCGTTCTCCCTCCGTTGCCCCTCCCCCTGAGCCCCATCGCCGCATCCTCCATCATCCCTTCTTCCTCCTCCCCCCCTCTCCACAATTACTCAATATGAAAATATTATCCCTCTTCCCCTGATGGCGTCCGGGCGATGGCCGCGCACCCTCCGCGTATTGTTTTTTACACACAGGATGCCCGGGAAATCCCGGGAAACGACTCTCGCTGAGGCGCCGGCGTCATTTTTTCCCGAAGTGCTGCTCTCGTTGAGGCGCCGGCCTCATTTCTGCTCCCGAATCATTCCGAATCGTGCTCCCGCTGCAGCGTGGGCCTCATTTTCGGATCGGTGTTTGGCCTCCGTCGTTCAGGATGGCGTTCTCGCCCCAGCGCGGGCCTTTTTCTCGCGCGCCCATCCGCCCGCCACCACCGCGCCCCACCGCACCACCACCACACCACCACCACACCACACCACCACACCACCACCAGCACCACCACCAGCACCACCACCACACCACCACCACACCAGCACCACCACCACCACCACCACCACCACCACCACCACCACCACCACCACCACCACCACCACCAACCACGCACACACGCACGCACGCACGCACGTGCACCACCACCCACTACGCACGCGCGCGCGGAGCCACAGGTCCGCTACGACACGCGTCCGCGGATAGAGAAAATCAGCGCCATGGTAAGGGATGGGAGGGAGGGGTAGGACGTCAGATATGACGCGAGCGCACCTAGCATGCCCCCCCCCTCCCCCGGCCCCCCTCCGCCGCCCTCCTCCCCCCTTCATCGTTTCCATACTTACTCTTCTCATACTACCTCCCACCACTTCCATCATCTCACTGGGCCTCTCACTGGG